CCTCCAGATAATTTCTTCCCTATTTAAGCCCAGACTCCACACCTACTCATTGCTGGATTGTCTCTTCAACCGCCCTGACGTCTCCTGATCCTTGTTTCCAGTACCTTTGCTTGTTGACCCGGATTGACTTTGACCTTGTTTGCCTGCAGCCTGCCTTTGACCTCGGAACGTTTGACCATTCTTGCTTGCCTTTACCCTTGACCTCGGATTGCTTACTGGACTGCCTACGTCTTCTTCCTTTTGTGCCTGCTCTGCGTGACCTCGGCCTGTTGACCTCGGATATCAAGATATACAAAACTCTGCTACAAAACCAGGGATTGGCCGGCACGGTGTTACCGCCTCTGGCCCTCCTGCCACTAACTGTCTCTAAGGAATCTGTCCCCAATACCAGAGTCCCTAGGACACGAGCTGCAAGGGAAGCCTCCTCCTACATCCAGTCTCCACACAGGTACGTGATAGGTGCCCATACACCTGCCGATTATCATATGATCCCACGATCGTACGATAATCGGCAGGTGTATGGGCAGCGTGCGACCGCATCTACTATAAGGCCGTACTACTTTCGTCTTCCTAGCACGCTGGAAAACCCGCCGAAAATCGTATGATTTTCTGCGGATTAGTGGCCCCACGGGCCGATGTGCGCAAGCGCACACTGCCCGCTCAGCATTGCAATCATCGGCAAGCCCTCCCCTTAGCGGGGAGGGCATGCGATAATCGCAAGTACGATCTGCCTGTCCAAGATGGGCAGGTCGTACGAAATTTTAGGGAGCTTACAACCATCGCACAACGAAAGTCACGCGATGCTTGTAAGGTGTATGGCCAGCCTAACACAGAATCATCTCAAATACCATCTGAATGCACCAGTGGCAGACGGCGTGGCTGATGGGAAGTCATTTAACTATTACAGGCAGCGTGCTGGTGGATTCACCCTCCTGATATTGCCAGCATAGCTCCATTGCCGACACAGAGCTGCATTTCTCCACTGTTCTATATATTACATTCCCCAGCCTGCTGCACTAAACACTAGGAATATGTTTTTTTAGGAAATTGGCATGTTATCCTTTTTAACAAAAGTTATACTTTTATTAGAATAAAAAAAGAAACAAAAAAATATATAGAAACAGAAATAGGGTTTTATGACAGTATTGCACATTATTTGCGTCTCTGTGAGCCCCTTTAGCGGTTGCCTTTCCTGTCACTATAGAGAATGGGAATTCCATTCAGACATAATTCATCCCAGGGACAGGCAGAAACAATCTAGGTGTCTGGGAGTGGTCAGACCCCAAATCCAGGCCTGAGCCTGATATTCTAAATTGATCTGAGGCTTATCCAATAATATGTACCTTTCATACTGAAACAAGGTCTGCTTTGGAGATCTCTGAAAAAAATAAGTCTGTTTTTAAGTCAAAATAAGTCATACATTTCATATAAAAGAATCCTCGAGCCTCACATTCGGCTTGTGGCTTTTTTTTACTGAAAACACACAGTTCCTCTACTACAATTACAATTGTTGCTCTGCTAATCCTGCAAGTCAATCTACACTGAACAAGGAGCTCATATCAAGCCTTTGGCAGCTTCAGTTAAAATTAAAAGGCATACTTAACTGTAGAGACTGTCAAGTGTGGAAATAATATTTGTCCAGCTGGACAGCTTTCTTTTGTAGTGGCTAAATGAATGTTGAGATTCTGTCTTCCTGAAAGCTTCTATGTCAGGAAAGTAATGTGGACTGTTTGTGGTTTGACAAGGATTATTAAAATCAGATGGAGAGAACGGAAGTGAATGTGAGCAAGCAAAATTGACAGTGACACTCTCTATTATTTTCAGCCAGGAATGATGGTTGTGGTGATATGATGGTTTTCTAAATGTTAGATTTCCTTTTAAGATTTGTTAACCAGCAAACAAAGTCAGATTCATTCTACTGAAATGTATTTTGTGATTTCATAGAAACAGATCAGGGGCTTTGTAACAAATGATTCTTTTCATTTTGGTTTAGTTCTCTGTTATTCTGTGCTGACATTAATGGACTGCTTATGGCACGGTGAGAATGATGGTAAACACTGTACCCTGGTACTATATAAACTAGATAGGGGTTTTTTGGCTGTGAAAAATACACATGTTCCTTTGTCGGTTTCTATACAGAGCAATACAGGGAATCATCATACAGAAGAAATATTGGGAGAATAAAATATACTCTTCCCAATACTCAGAGCCGGTGTGCGACAATGCAGCTGTCACATGCCGGCTCTATAGATCGAGAAGTTAGCAATCACGAACCGCTCATTTACCACCAACATTAGGGATGGCTAAGGGTGCGGACAGCCGATGACCTTAAGCCCGCATTCACGCCTGTGCATTCCGTGAACACAAGCCACATTTCTAATGGCACTCCAAACATCAGGAAGACATGTTGTTCCTCCATGTTTGCGTGCATTAAAACGCGCAAACAAGAAACAGAGATGTCACAAGATTTGGTACGTGAAATTTTTTTGCTCTGTTTGTCACTCGCTCAGGCCCCATTGAAGTCAATGGGGAGGCATGGCAAACACAGCACACAAACTAGAGCTGCAGCTAACGATTATTTTCAAAATCGATTAGTTAGCCGATTATTAAGTTCGATTAATCGGTTAATCGGATAAAAAAATAAAATGAATTTTAAAAAATGGCTCCAGTGATGGACTACTAGTTTGTATTGAGGTTGTAGTCCATCACAGGAGCAAGCTTGGACCGGTGGAAGAAAAAAAAAAAAAAAAAGATAGTGTGGTGTGCAATATAGTGAAATGGAAAGTGTAAAATTATACAGCAATGAATGCAGAATGGCACCGGCTATAGAGGACTACAAAACCCAGCAAAAGCACATTATACAGCGCAATGCAGAATACCGCCAGCTATAGAGGAATACAACAAATCCCAGCAATAGTACATAATAGCTGGCGGCATTCTGCATTGCGCTGTATAATGTACTATTGCTGGGTTTTGTAGTCCTCTATAGCTGGTGGTATTTAGCATTGTACCACTTTATAATGCATTATTGCTGGGATTTGTTGTACTCTTCTACAGCTGGTGGTATTCTGCATTGCGCTGTATAATGTATTATTGCTGGGACTTGTAGTCCTCTATAAAGCGCAATGCAGAATATCACCAGCTATAAAGGAGTACAACAAATCCCAGCAATACATTATACATACAGCGTACAATGTATTGCTGGGATTTGTATTCCTATGTATAATATACAGCACAATGTACCATCAGCTATAGAGGACTACAAATCCCAGCAATACATTATAGAGCACCATGTGTGGGAAAGTGCAGGCTTACCTGAGCAGTCTTCCAGCAACTTGCTTCTGAGATCGGACCTGTCTATCAGCAGCTGTCATCCCCCCACACCTGCTCCTCCTTACTACATCTCCCCACGTCCCTGTGCAGATTGTGGATGGGCAGGAAATGTGAGGAGGTGCGGCATGTGGAGCGTGGATGCGAGCGGGTCTGGCAGCGGCGAGCGTGAGGTGGGGAGGAGGTGCGGCACACAGCGTGTGGAGCCGTGAACAGGGCCAACTGATCGGAAGCCGATTAATCGATTATTGAAAAAGTTGACAACTTTTTCAATAATCGATTATGTCGATTAGTTGTTGCAGCCCTAACACGAACACGCACAAATATGACGCGTGTTCCTGGAACACACAGGTGTGAATGCAGGCTAATACAGCAGACTGGGTTTACTTTGCACCAGACTGAACTGCCAAAACCAAACACCAGGCAAACTAATCCCATTTATTTTACTATGGCCTATTTTGTCGTATTCTTTTCTGTAATCATTTTTTTGCTCTGTTTTCCTTAAAACAATATTTTGAAGTCACTAAGCTAAATCTCTCAGGGATTGTTCACACCGAAAGCGTGTGCATTCCAGAGCGGTAGCTACTGGAACGCACCGCGATCGCTAAGAAACCTCTCACTGCGTTCTGGGGCGTGGCGGTGCATTGAATTCAATGGCACCGCTTCCACAACCCCCCGCCTGCAGTGCGATCGGACGCACTGTTCCCCTGCAAACGCAAAAAATAGGGCTTGCTCTATTTTTTCCGTTTGCAGTGGAACGCAGCTACCGCTCTGGAATGCACACGCTTTTGGTGTGAACAAGCCCTAAATGCTCTAATCAGAAATTATTAGAGTCTCTGCCCCTGCAGAAAGCTACCATTGTCAAAAGTGTGTCAGTCATTTACGAACAGAAACTAAAAACAAGCTCAGTCATGAAGGGGTTAAACTCTGTTACCCTCCTGTCTGGGCGTGGCAGTCAGTGTCACAGACATTTCTAAAGTTCAGAATAGCCACAGAAGTGCTGCCCCAGTACCAATCGCTCTGTGTCTCCTGGCATTTATATTGTTGGAAAATGTGTGTGCAGGGTGAGACTGAGAGTGCCACCATCACATTCTGATGACAGCTGCAGGATTTGGGACTGCCCCGGCTATCAGAGGTATATTTCTTGGTGCCCTACATGTAAGAACAAGCTTCTGAGTAAGGGGATGGAAGGGGTGTACTAAAACAAACAAACTGGCAACTTTGCCCTAAATATGCATAGCACATGTTGGCTTGTCAAAGGAACTAGCACATTCCGGTCAGCTGTGGCAGCTGTTTTTAGTTTTCCTGAAACTGACCAAAAGCAGCAACAAAAACACGAATTGTTAATAAAGTTTCAGAATTGTAAAAAAAACAAGAAAAAAACGTTAGCCCAACCCCCTCCCAATTTATGAAATGTCATAGAAAGTTCCTAATGCTTTCTAGCAATTGTATACACAGCTCAATGTAAAGATTGCTGTGTGCAAACATGGCACGACCCATTCATAGTCCCCTAACACCCAAACAAAACAGGGCTTTCCCAGCTCATGACACTCATACCACCCCCTAAATCAGTCCGGCGTATGAGCGAAGCCTGCGCGATGACGTCACTAGCATGGCAACCAACTGCGTCACCTGGTAGTATATACACACACAAGATACCCGGTTCCTACCTGTGCAACCTTAACGCTGCTTTTCCCGGATAATGAGTTGACGTTTATATGGTTCCGCTGAACGAGAGTCCCGTACAGCAGCGTCTGGCGGATAGTACCGGGACAGGATGTGGGCTGCAGGTAACTAGTCTCCCATCCCCGTTAGATTGCAGTGAGGACATGGACGTCACTCTCCTGCAGCTTCACGTATCGGCGGGAAATAGCGAGAGGCGTGTCCTGAGAGCTCGTTCACAGCTAGCCAATGGGGAGCGTCCGCTGTGCCGAGGGGCGCTCAGTGTTGCGTTCGGGGAGCGGCGCCGTAGGGTGCAGGAGCAGAGTACTGTCTGTCCATGTAGTCAGTGTAGGCCTGAGCGGGGAGGACACAGACATGCAGCAATACCATGCCTGCCATTTACTTCATATGAACACAGCTGGCTTGGTATTGCTGAACCTCCTTAGGTTTCAGCAAGAACTCCAGAACTTCCAGCAGTGGGGATGCCCCTGGCAGTGCAAGGGTTAACTGCTCGTTTTGGTCTAGAGAACAGAATAAAAACAAAACAAAAAAAATATATAATCACCCAATCCTCAGTCCTGTGGCAGTGACCGATCGCCTCTCTCCCCCTCCGCTCTGGCTGTGGAATGTTACACGCATCTTCACTG